CAACTTCTTTTCCTAACCCTCATCACTCTCTCTCCTCACTCCAGGTCATCAACTTCTATGCAGGAGCAAACCAGAGCATGAATGTTACCTGCGTGGGGAAGGTGAGTTTGTTGGGCCTTGTCCACCTGTTTGCCCCATCTGTTTGTCCTTATGGTTTCCATGTCATTCACTCATCTCTCCCTATCTTCTTTGCTCCCAGAGGCCCCATAACTCTAGGGACAAGGGGGTAAGCATGGGCTTCAATATGGCTCAAACTCCAAGGCGCTGCCACCCCTCTTGCTTCTGTCTAGGATGCAGAAGTCTGCTCTTTTATATGGATAGACACCCTCTCCCTGACTCTACCCGAGCCCCTGCCTCTGGCTTCTCTCCCTGATCCTTCCATCTTCTCTATTCCCTGACCATGTCTTCTGCTCTCAGTCTCATGTCTCTTCTGCCCTCAGTTCTTTTTAGGTATCTGGTAGCTGCTGGTCTGTGAGCACCACCTGCCACCACTAAGTTGTCCTTGGAGCCCTGCTCCCCCCATCTTTGTCCCTCTAGGAGCTTCCTGCTCCTCTTGCTTCATCCCCCTCCTCGCTTCCTACTGAGCCCTTACTCATTGATCTGTTCTCTCTTGGCTCCGCTCCAGAAACCGATTCCTGAGGATGGGGTAAGAATTTGGGGTGGGAGGGCTTTGGGCTCCTTAGCACCCTGGAGGACTTCCCAGTCTGATGGAAGAGACAGGACACCCCCTCCTGTGCACGTGCAAATATACCAGACTCAGCAGCACAAGGGATATGGATTTGAGAAAGCACAGTCTGGGGTGAAGGAGGAACAAAGGGAAGTCTGGCCAGCGGCTGAGTTCCCACCATCCCTAACATGCTCTCCTCCATCCTCCTGCGCCCCCCACAGCGAGATGAAGATGCTGAGAATCTCGGCAACTTCGTTATGTTCCCTGCAAACGGCAACATCGACCTCATGTACTTTCCTTATTACGGCAAGAAGTTCCACGTAAGTCCTGTGGGAGGCCGGGTGCTGGCTCCTCCAGGGGAGCAGGGTGCGGGGTTGCAGGCCCAGCTGCCTCAGGCCTGGAGCCTCGCTCTCCTCCTCTGGCCCAGGTGAACTACACGCAGCCCCTGGTGGCCGTCAAGTTCCTGAACGTGACCCCCAACGTGGAGGTGAACGTGGAGTGCCGCATCAACGCTGCCAACATTGCCACTGACGATGAGCGCGACAAGTTCGCGGGGCGTGTGGCCTTCAAACTCCGCATCAACAAAACCTGAGGCCCCCTTCCTCCCGCCCCCACCTCTTTCCTACGGATGCTTCTGGAATACCCCTGACCCCGCCTGATCCCTCCCTCACCCACCCCAAAGGTATTTTTTATAACAGAGCTATGGCTTCTCTGAGCCTCGCGCCCTTTTCCTTTCCTTCTGAACCCCACCTGACATCTGTCATGATTCTCTGGTTGCGCACACTTTCCACCATCTTCTTCCTGCCCGAGCTCTGTCAGAGACAGGGAGATGGAACCCCCAAGACGGTCATAGAGTTCGGAGTCTTTCTAGTCCTGGTGTAGCTGTGAGTGGGGTGTCCTCACAGCTCCCCACCCATCCTGCTCTCCTGTCCCCCCACCCCCCCCCCCCCGAACTATAGAAAATGCCCACCCACCCACCTTGGGCTTCCCTCATAGCTCAGTTGATAAAGAATCCGCCTGTAATGCAGGAGACCCTGGCTTGATCCCTAGGTTGGGAAGATCCCCTGGAGAAAGGAAAAGCTACCCACTCCAGTCTTCTGGCCTGGAGAATTCCTTGGACTGTATAGTCCATGGGGGTCACAAAGAGTCGGACACGACTGAGTGATTTTCAGTTTCTTTTCTTTTCACTCACCCACACACAGACAACAATCTGTTCGTGCTTATCTCCAGACAGAATGTGGCACTCCATTCTTTTATTTAAAATAACTGAAGTATAATTAACTTACAACACTGCTGTTAGTTCCAGGCACACAGCTTAATGATTTAATACCTCTGTAGGCTACAGAGTGGTCACCGGCGTGACCCTCTATCCTCCCATGCCAGCTCAGCCGCTGTCCCCCTCCCCCCCGTCTCCCACACCTTCTGCCTTGTCTACCACAGTTGCTGTCTCAGTGGCTTTTGACTTGTGTGGCTCCTCTGGTCAGTCTTTCCCCACTTCTCCATCCCCATTCCCTCCACTGAAAGCGGGACCACTTGTAACTGAAGACATGGTGGCTCTGTGGCCTTTTCCTTCTTTCCTGGCACAGCTGGTTTCTCACTCTACGTTGAATACGTGAGCTGGGAATGAGGGTCTGAAAGAGAAATCCCTGTTGGGTCTTGAAAATTCTCTTCCCCGTCTCCTATCACTCCTCAGAGGGGCGGGGTTGACCTAGGCTGAATATCCACTTTGTTTTTGCCGATGGCTCCCTTCCCTCTGTTCCCTTTCCCAGAATATCCTGCAAGTTCTACTTCCCAGGCGCCCTGGGGGATGGGCAGCCACTTTGGCTGGGTCCCCAGTGGCCACCTTGGAAACGTCAGCTGGTTATGGGACTATTCCATCTCCTTCCCCTCCACCCAGATCTGCTCCCCCACCCCCATCCTCTCTGTGGCTTCTCTTAGCAAGTTATCAACTAATCACTAACTCCTCCCCTTTCTTCCGCATGCCAGCGTGAAAACTGCAGATACCTCCTCCTTTTAAGACTCTGAATTTCTTGGCTCCATCTCCTTCAGACCCCTTTGCCTTCTTAAACAACCCCATAGTGCCCATAGAATGTTAAATGAGGGACCTGCTGTGTTCTTGAGTTATAGAGGCAATTTTAACTCTTTCTTCTCCCACGCCCTTCACTTCCCCACCTATAATTTCCCTGATCTTTTTTGATGCTGCAGCTTCCACACCCCACCCGTGGGTGGACCCTCCCCTGTTTTTCTCTGGCTGGATCTGAGTCTCTTCCCTTTGGATCCCATTGTTTTCCTGCACTCCCCTCACCCAAGTGGTCTCTCTCTGCAGTTATTTAATGCCTGTGTTTGATCTACTGTAAAAAGAGGATAAAGTACAATAAAATGAGAGCAATTATATATATATATATATATATATAAATATATATATCATACCTGGAGCCCTGCGTGCAGGTTGTTCCTTTCTGAGCTTCTGGAGGAGCCCTGAGAAGCGGGTGAGGGGTGGACTTGGGTGATCTGAGGGTCACCCAGCCCTTGGGAGGACCACTTCCCTGCTTTGATCTCTTCTGTCCAGTGTCCAAGCGTCTACCTCCTAGATTGCTCCATCACCCATACTGTCTTGAGATCAATCAGTCAATACAAGACAGGCAAGAAGCCTATGTCCTTCTCTACAGCTATACTTATAAAGTGCCTACTATGTGCATTCTAGGCATCATGAAGATACACTTATGAAAGAGGCAGAGTTCCTGCCCCCAAGGAGCTCCCCAGTATAACAGGAGAGGGGAGGAGCACACGAGAAACTCTCAAACCAGGTAGACCTAAACGTATTTCCAGGAAGGAGAGAAAGCTGGTGAGGACAAAATTCAGAGTGGTCAACCACTCTCCGGGGGGTGGGGGGGGGTGGGTTCATAAGGAAGGTTTCTTAGAGGCTTAAAGGATGGGGTGGCTTTGGGGGAGAGGCTAGCATCAGCAGATGCCCAGAGACATGTGAGGACAATTGACTGAAAGAAACAGATCTCAAAACAGTATGAACCATAGGATCCCGATTTTGTGTGTAAAAAAAGCACACAAGCATAGAAAAAGGATGGATGAGTCTGTACAACAATATTTATTGTGGTATTTTGGGATGGGTTTATAGCTAATTTTTATTTTCTTGGGGTTTGTTTTTGTTTGCAATGAGTTCGCCTTGAAAAAATAGCTTTATTACTTGTGCATTCACATATATATACAGTTTTATCTTGAGTGCATAGTACACATACATGGATTGCTGGGTTTTGGTCATATAATACACATTATACATATTAGGTGTGTGTGTGTTAGTCACTCAGTTGTGTTCAACTCTTTGTGACCTCATGGACTGTAGCCTGCCAGGCTCCTCTGGAGTGGGTACTGGAGTGGGTAGACAATTCCTTTTCCAGGGGATCTTCCCGACCCAGGGATTGAACCCAGGACTACCTGCATTGCAGGCAGATGCTTTACCGTCTGAGCCACCAGGGAAACCCATACATATTACATTAGATCATATTATAGACAATTTTGTGCATTACACTTGTTCATTCAATTTCACCTGGCCTGGTAGAGCTCTAATTCATTTTTTTAAATGGCTGCATAATATTTTTTCTATTGGGTTGTTCTTGTTAATTTCTTTTCTTTTTTTTCATTTATTTTTATTAGCTGGAGGCTAATTACTTTACAATATTGTAGTGGTTTTTGCCATACATTGACATGAATCAGCCATGGATTTACATGTGTTCCCCATCCCAATCCCCCCTCCCGCCTCTTGTTAATTTCTTAGAGCTTCTTGACAGTTGTAGATATAAACTGTTTTCTGCATTGTAGATTTCCCCTAATCAATTGTTTGTCCCTTGAGTTTGTGGTGGCTTCTTTACTGTTAAAAAGTGGTTTCTTTTTTAAATTTTTTTGGCCACACTGCATGGCTTGTAGGATCTTAGTTCCCAGACTAGGGAGCAGGGATCGAACCTAACCCTCAGCAGTGAAAGCATGGAGTCTTCACCACTGGACTGCCAAGGAATTTCCAGAAGGCTATACTCATATTTTGTAAAAATATTTTGGGCAGGATTTTATTTCATTTTAATTTTTACATATGCCTTAATTCCTTTGCCTATTTTAAAAAAAAACAATACAACTAAAAATTTAATTTATTTACTTATTTATTTTTGGCTTCACTTCTCAGCTTGAGGGATCTTCCATGACCAGAGATTAAACCCCAGCCTCCTGCAGTGGAAGCTTGGCATCCTAACCACTGGACTGCCAAGGAATTCCCATACTTGGTCTATTTTGATTTCTTTTGTGTGTGGTACAAATGAAGAGTCTGGTATTATTTTATTAGTGTGTCAGCTTCATTAAAAAAAATTCTTAATTTACTTACTCCCATTGGTTCTTGGGTCAGGAAGATCTGGAGAAGGGATGGGCTACCCACTCCAGTATTCTTGGGCTTCCCTGGTGGCTCAGATGGTAAAGAATCTGCCTGCCATGAAGGAGACCTGGGTTCAATCCCTGGGTTGGGAAGATCCCCTGCAGTGGGTTGGAGGAAGGCATGGCAACCCACTCCAGTATTCTTGCCAGGAGAATCCCCATGGACAGAGGAGCCTGGTGGGCTACAGTCCATGGGTTTGCAAAGAGTCAGACCTGACTGAGCAACTAAACACATTGAACTGAAATGCCAACTTTGGCTGTATAATACATTTTACTATATACTGAGCTCTTTTGGACTCACTGCTGCCTTGTCTACTACTCCATATACCAAGCCATATTGATCTGATTCCAGTTGATTTTATAGTCTGTTTTCTGATATCTAGCAAGGCAAGCAAGCCCTCTGCCCATTCCTTTTTAAAAACAACTATTGGTTATTTGGGGGCATTTATTCTTCTCTATGAATTTATGACAAATATATCCAATTCTCAAAAACAAAAGCCATCAAGACTTGTTGAGATTCTAATTGTAATTGCACTGTATTTTTATTTCAGGAGAACCAGTCTTTTTTTTCAGATAGTAAGTTTCCCCATGTAAGAATAGGTTATCTTTTCCTTTTGTTTGGAGCTTGGTTTATGTCCTTAAATAAGGTTTTATAATTTTCTCCATATAGAGTCTGTGCCATTCTTTCATTTTTTGTGTGATTCTTGTGAAACTTATCCCTAATTATTTTATTGCCATCTACCCTTATTAAATTAGCTTAATTCCATCACCTATTATTAACCAAGAGGTTAGTTTTTAGGTACATAAACATAATCATATGATCCAAAAAGCAAAAATATTTATTTTTTAACCAACGTTTTGTTTTCTTCATTTCTAAAAATCCTCTTGAGTGCTCTAAAACTGATGTTAGTGGGCATTGTTGCAGTGAAAGCAAGTCTTAACACTGCCAGGGGATTCTCTTGTGTAGTTCTAATTTAAATTGAAATGACCTTAGGGTTTAACCATTAGGATAACACCAGTATTCCATTACTATTTTTTTTTTTTTTGGCCAAGTAGAATGTGGGATCTTAGTTGCCTGACCAGGGATCAAACCCAAGCCCCTTGCAGTGGAAGCACAGTCTTAACCACTGGACTACCAGGAAAGTTCCTCCATTACTATTTTAATTTTTTTTTTAAGGAATGGCTGCTGAAATTTAATCAAATTCCTTTCAGCATCTGTTGATATGATCATATTTTTATTCCTTAATTTATTAATATAATGAATTATGTTGACAGACTCTCTATTAAACCAATTTTATGCTCCTGGAATAAACTCTACTTGGTTATGTTATATTCTTTTGATTCATCAACATATATTTTTTGATACTATTTAGTGATTTTGCATCTCTATAAATTACTTTGCATGTAATTTTTTAGTATCTTGATTAAGTTTTAATATTAATGAAACCACAAAAATTTATATGAATTAGAGATTCCACTTTTCCTATGGTCTGGAATAGTTTGTTTAAACATTGGATTAATTTGCTCTTACTCTTCCTTTTTTTTTCCAATCAAACTCTTGAGTTTTTCTCTTTGTTTAAAGTGTATCTTTTTTTACCCCCTTGAGTCCTGCTTTTGAATTTATTCTTTCAACCAACTTGGCTTTCTCTTTCAATAAATTATATCTTTAATTTTTAGGATGCATGCTAGCTTCCTTTTACTTTTTTAAAATAAAGAAAGCATTTATGGCTTTATATTTTCCTCATTGTACAACTTTTGCTGAGTGTTACAGATTTGGGGGCCCCTGTGTTCCTGAAATCAAAGAGACAGTTTTTAAAATTATTCTAAACCCTAGCGCAACAGGACTTGGGCTCTTTGAGTGTGAGTGCAGGGCCAAGTCTGCCACGGGTCCTCACAACACACAACAATCCTGAGCATACAGTAAGGCATCAGTCAATGAATATCCGCTGGCTAGATTGTCAGGAGGGAATACAGCCAGAGGGAAGGAAGTGAGCAAGTAGGACCAGAGAGGTCAAGGACTCATTGGAAGTCACATAGCTTAGTAGAACTGGCCTGAAAACCCAGGACTAATTCTCAGACCAGTAACCTATCAGAACACAAAGGGACTGGCAGAGCCAGAAAGGCTCTGCTTTGTGAAGGAGTAGAGCAGAAACAAAAAGAGCTAAGGACACACTCTAGAGAAGTGTGGAGTGTAGCGGGTGCAGGACACTGGTCAGAAAGGCTCAAGGTGACCTGTCTACAGGAGTGAGGCGAGGAAGTAAGTTTCAACTGCTCTCGTTTACCAAGGGCCTGGCTTGTGGGGAGAGATGGCAAAGTTAAAGATCTCTACAAGAGGTGGCTCTGGGTATCCTGGGGAGTGTTTGGCATTCTCCAGCAAGGAAGAAGTGTGGTTTCGAGGCCAGGGAGCTGGTGGCTTCACAGCTGTCTGGGATCCTCAGGGTAAGCCTGGGGATTCCCTCAGGGACTTTAAGCCAGGTTGAGGGAGCAGCGGTCCCAGAAGCCCCTCTGGACCTTACTCTGCTCTCTCCGCCCCCAGGGAGGAGGCAGGATGAGCTGTGTCCCCAGTCTGGCCATCCTTCCAACACTGGCTCAGGCAGCAGTGGCGGGTGTGGGGTGATGGGGAGAGCCTGCCCCCAGCCCCCCACCCTGGGAGCTGGCAGCTCTAAGGAACAGAACGGGTTGGAAAGGGGTGCAGGGCTCCCCAGGCTCGACTCTCCTCCCTACCCCAAGAAGTCCTTTGAAAGGTTTTCCTGGCAGAGTTTAAAGCTTCCATTCATTCAGCTGGCTGGCACGAGGCCCGGGTGAGGGGACGCCGGGAAGGCCCAAGTCCCACGTCCCAGCCCTCACCTTAGCCGCCCCCACTTCCCGGGGACCCTGGCTGGCAGGCCTTGTTCTCCCTCCTCACCATAGCACCCACCGTCTTTCCCCTTGAGAACCCAGGTATCCTGCCCCTTTCCTGGGGAGCAGATGGCCACCCCGGAAGCTCAGGCTTACTAAATCAGACATTTAAATCCCGTAATCCTTGGTGAGGCTGAGAGGGGGCAGCAGCCCAATCCTAGAAGCAGGAGCAGAGACCTTGTGCCAGCCCTGGCAGGAGGGGAGGGGGGACAGTCGGTTCCCAAGTTATGAATGGAGGCACCCCTTCCCTTATTGTCATGCAGCCTGCAGACTGACCCAGTCTCCAGGCTTTGTTCTCCTCCAGGAAACCAGGCACTGGCGCCGCCTGCCGCCACCCTCCCGACTCAGGTGGCTGCTTCCCAAACTCACTCCCTCAATTCACCCCTGCACTGGCCCCAGTCTCTCAAGACACACAGGTGGTAGCAAAGTTTTATTGTAAAATAAATTGATATAAAAAATGGGATATAAAAAGGGAAGAGGAGGGGTGTGGGTGACACATGCAGATGTGCCCTGCAGAGTACAGAAGAAATCTGCTGAAGCATTTGGGGGAAATAAAACAGGTGCTGGCAGATAGAGCAGGGATGGAAGCCACTCGGATCCAGGATAAGGTGAGCTTTCCCCTTTGGTACTGAGGTTCACCAAGGGGTTATGATCTGGCAGGGCCAGGAGAGAAGGGACTCGGAGACTTCTTCCCTTTAACCAGCCATCCAGTCAGAAGCTGTCAAATCATCCACCCAGGGGGATAAAGAACCAGCACCCACAAAAGGCACTAAGTCCCAGACATCATGTAATCAAATGATGGTTTTGGGTCCAGACATACATTATTTCATCAACCCTCACAACAAACCCCCGGTGAGGTAGGTATGATTATCAGTTTTTTATAGATGTGAACAATGAAGTCAGGAGAAAATCAAACAACTTAAGATAGCTTCCCTGGCTAGTATGGCAGAGAACTGAGTTTTCCAACCCAGTGTATGGCTGGTTATAAGATGTTCCTCACACGCAGGAACACCTTCTGACCTCTCCCGAAGGCTGCTCACAGTAAAAACCTTGAAAGCTAAGCTGGAAAGCGCCAGCACCCCCCAAATCCCCAGAAAACCACGAGCACAGGTCTGCCTCTTTGGCAGAGCCGCAGGCTGAGCAGACGAAGAATCCCAGGGGGTTTCTAAGGCGCACCTGCACCAAACAGAGGTCTAAGCACCTGAGTCTCAAAAAACGCCAGGGAAGGGGTGGGGGATGAGGGTGGGGACGTCAACCAGTGACAGGAAGCAGAAGACATCAGTCTGAGTCAGGCCCTTCTCTCTTGAGCATTGGTTTTTTATGGCAGGAGGGAGAAGACCCCTTCTTAGACTTCAGGTGGCTGTGAGGAGAGAGGGGAGGGGAGGAGATGACGTCACCTGAGTGAGAAGCTCTGGGCCCCTCTTCCTGGACCTAAGCTTCGAAGGGCTCGAGGCGGGAGCAAGGAAAACTTACGGTAAAATGGTCACCGCCAAGGGCAGACATGCTGACTGAGCACCTCGGGGTACTTGTGGGTATGAGTCTCTTAATCTTCCCTTGTCCCAGCTGACACATGAGGAAACTGAGCCCGGGAGGGGAAGTAACAAGGCCAACATGACTCTTCAGTACTTTGCAAGGCTGAGCATCTGACTCCAAGGCCTGATATCCCATAGTTATCAGGTCTCTGTTTGAGACCCTAGCTCTGAGAGTCTAGGGTTTGCTAGAATAGGCAAAGAAAGATCCATGCCCCGGACCCCTGGAGGCAGGAAAGTGGAGGAAGCCTAAAGAATGTCTGGGCAGGGTTGGGACCCAGCGGCAGGGTATCAGCTGCCTTCTACCTTGAAGGGAGGACCAGAATGGAATACCATGGCTTTCTAACACAGGAAAGCAGCAGATGTGTGTGTGTGTGCGCGCGCTCGGGCACTGGGGAAGACCTGGATCACTCACCTAGAGTGAGCCCTGCTTTCCCCTGGTTCCCTTCTAGCCTGAGCATCCCTCAGCTCCAAGGCCTCATTCAGCTCTCGGAACATCTCAAAGCGTTTACGCCCACGGATCTGTGGCAAGGAAGGAAGGGAACAAACAAATACTAAGCAAAGTCGCTACAAGAACCAAGGGGCTCCCCCAGTAGTTCAGTGTTAAAAGATTCCACCTGCCAGTATAGGAGACATGGGTTCAAACCCTAGGTGGGGAAGATCCCCTGGAGCAGGGAATGGCAACCCACTCCAGTATTCTTGCCTGGGAAATCCCATGGACGAGGAGCCTGGTGGGCTACAGTCCACGGGGTTGCAAAAGTCAGACACGACTGAGTGACTAAACACCACAGCCACCATCACCAGTGAATCATGGCCATGGACAGAGGAAAGGATGACTAGAAAAAATGGGCTTAACCTCACATCTGCTACATTTATATTTTTTCTTCCCTTATCCAACCCTGTGGAATGGGGGCAAGAGACTGCACCTCTCTCTCCCCCAGAACTGGTACCTGAAGAGTGAAATATTCTCCATCCAGTGGTTTCTTCTTTTGCTGTGGAGAGGAACTGGTGCTGGTAGGCAGTGCTGGGAAAGAGGCAAGGAAAGGTCAGAAAAAGAGTGAATTGGGGGCAGAACTGCACCCTTGTTGCCTCTTCTACCTCCTGCTCACCTCGCTTAGTGCTCCCAGGGGGTGGCTCGGGGCAAGACTGCCCCTTCTTGTAGAAATTTTCTTCCTCAATGCGGCGGTCTCTCCCAGGACAGGCACAAACACGCACCTCAAAGCTGTTCCGTCCCAGCAGGTTACCACTACCAGGGTAGGAAGAGGGAAGCAGGAGGCAATCAGAAACGGGGACCCTGTCTGTGTTCTCCTGTGAACCACACCCCACCTACTCCCAACCACCCCCATCCCAAGGGGAGCCTGAGCGCCAGCTCCAGATTGAGAAGACCCTGGCAAGAGAGGTCCCAAAGCCGGAGAAAGGAGGGAGGGAGCAGCAGAGGACGTCCACAAAGAGAATGCACTGAGAGGGAACGATGGCTGGTAGTGTGGGAGAATGTGGTGAGGGGCAGGGCCCCGGAGACAGGCAGGCAGAGGCTAGGGAGCAAGCTAGCGTGGAGGGTGGTGTGTGGTCCCTACCGAGAGTCTTCCAGTGTGATGATGGTGAGGATGGGCCGCCGGTTCATGCCCCCCATGCAAGAGCTGTTACACATGAAGTTGTAGTGGATGGTGGTGCACTCAGAGGCGATCTGGGAGAGAGCACAGGCCCGGCGTGAGGCTACCCAGCCCTGGGGAGGCTGTCGGCCTCTGTGAGCCTGTTTGCTCAGCTGTGGGATGGGGATAACCCATCTGCTCTGCACACCTCACAGGGCTGTGGAAGGTCAAGTAAGAAGGAGAAAGGCCCCTCCCTCCCACCTAGGATGGTCACGGACAAACCCCCTCCCCCCGGAAACCCCAGTTGGCAAACTGGACCTCGGGCGGCTCATAGGGCACCACCACACTGTGTCGAAAAGTGTTCCGGTCGTCCAAATACTCGGCGCGTAAATTCCCTTCCACCCGGATAAGGTGCTGAGGAGGGGCCAGACCTGAGAGCAATCAGGGAGGAATTAGGGGCTTGGGCGCTCCGGGTGCCAGGCCGGTCCCAGCCACAGTCCCCGCCACTCACCATCGCTATAGTCAGAGCGCTCATGGTGGGGACAACGCCTCACAACCTCCGTCATGTGCTCCGACTTCTTGTAGACGGCCATGGCGCGGACGCGGGTGCCGGGCGGAGGTGGCAAGTCGACCCATAGCTGCACCGGGCAGGTCTTGGCCAGCTGGCAGAACAGCTTGTTGAGGGAAGGGGAATACTGGAGGAGAAGGAGGAAGAATGAATGGAGGGTCAGGGGACAAGTACCCAAGGGTTGAATATACAAACACCAAGTACCGATTGGAAGCTGTGTCCTGTGAGGGGAGGGTAGCTAGAGATGGCAGGGTTGGGGGTGGGGGTCCACATCCCAGAAGCATACTTCCAACAGCCACAGAATGAATGCGAGTGAAGAAAAAAGGAAGAAAGAAATGGCCTCATGACAGATACTGAGAATGTGATGGGAAGGATGAAAACCCAAGGGTCAAGGGAGAAAATGTAACCTTGGGATGGAGTCAAAGGTCACAGACTAACTAGGTAAGATCTAAAAAGACTGACAAAAAGCCAAAGGCTGAAATGGAACCCCAAACTTCTGAACAGAACACCCCTAGGCTGTATGGCCAGGCACTGATAGGGAAGCCGGCTCCCCAGAGCCACTGACCGTGCAGGTTACAGACTTGGCTGTTCCGGAATGCAGGAACCCTAGACGGAAACCGTAATTGCCAGGGTAGGTCTTCTGGGAGGGGATGAAGGACGACAGGGGCCAGGAGGTGGCTGGTGTTGGGGTGGCTGGTGGCAGGGCAGCTGGGGCAAGAGGCTCTGGCATTTGGGGGGCTTCATTCGGACATTCATCCAGCCAGTTGGCAACATCTTCTGAAGTCATTACGGGTGATAGCAGGTCACTCACGGGTGAGGACAGCTCGGAGGACTATAGACAGGAGGAAAGCGTCAGAAGGCCCAGTTCACATCCTCTGGCCCCGCAGCCCCCAGGTCCCGCTTGTTCCCCAGGCCTTACCAGAAGGTTGTTTTCAGGAAGTCTGAAAGAAAGGAGTAGAAAGTCAGGACTGGCTTTTGTTTCTCATAGGGCTCTACTAGGGGGCTGGGGACCAGGGTGAGGCAAGGTTATTGGAGGCCGAGCAGTGAACCTGCTGTCCCTCCAGACCCCCACTCACAGGTTCCACAAGTCGGAAAATGTCTCCTGACTCAGAGGGGGCTCCATGCTGAGTTCTGCCTGCGACTCTTCCATTGTAGCTCCCTGGAAGGTTGTGTGGCCTCTGGAGGGAGAAAAGTGAGGATCCAGCCTGAGACACACCCAACCCTGGGTCACCCAGCCCGGAGGCAGGAGGGACCCCCTCCACCCACAGCACAACGGGAAGCTGAGGATCTGCTGGGGGGTAGGGGAGGCGCCTGCCCCACCCCTCAGCAGTCTTATCACACACTTCCTCGAGGGATAAAGGCAACCCGAGAGGGACTTCCAACCTTCCCACCACTGAATCCACAAGCGTTCCTCAGTACCTACGTATTTCTGCCCTCCTTTGCAGTAATAAGGATGAAGTAACTCTCGGCTCATTTCCTCCGCCCCCACCCCTCCACCTGCTCCCTTGGTATGGTTCCTCACTCAGGCTTACAGATCCCTCAGGGCCCAACCCCCACCCACCTCTCTGACCTCACCTCTTAGCACCCTCTCCCTTTTCCGGCTTCCCCAGTGGCTCAGACGGTAAAGCGTCTGCCTGCAATGCGGGAGACCTGGGTTCGATCGCTGGGTCGGGAAGATCCCCTGGAGAAGGAAATGGCAACCCACTCTAGTACTCTTGCCTGGAAAATCCCAAGGACAGAGGAGCCTGGTAGGTTACGGTCCATGGGGTCGCAAAGAGTTGGACATGACTGAGCAACTTCACTTTCCTTTTCTGATGCTCATCAGGCACTCCCAGTTCACTGAACTGGGGACCCTGGGCCCTGCATCCCTACAGGGTGACCTCCTTCTCACCGACCTCATCATGAATGTCACACCTTAGCAGGGATGTGTCGTCAGACTTCTCCATCACAGCCAGCCAGCTAAACCCTGTCACCTTATTAATTCAGGTCACCCTACTTTAATTCTCGTGGTACTTACACTATGTTACCTTTCCCTGCTCATTTTGCCTGTTTCCTCTATTGGAATATAAATGTCTTCAGGGTAGGGAAGTTGTCTTGCTCACCAGTTACTAGCATAATGGCCTGCACCTGGTCGGGCTCAATAACTGGGGTGAATAAGTGAATCCTCGTGCCGGGCTGTAAGCTGGTTATGAGTAGTCAAGGGAGCCAGGGGGACAGGGGTGGTGGCTGTGGCCTGGGCCAGGGCCCTGTCACCACCATCTCATCTCCCAGGCTAGCTTTCAAATAGTTTCAACATGCCATCTTTCTTGATGCCAAATTTGTCATCAGCTTTGCTCAGAACCATGCCCACTGATGAAAGTCCATGTTCACTACACTTTTCTTCTGTGTCCATGGTAATGACAACCCCCTCCAAGCAAGCAGCTCTTGTGGGCTTCTCTGGTGGCTCAGATGGTAAAGACTCTGCCTACAATGTGGGAGACCTGGGTTCAATCCCTGGGTTGGGAAGATCCCCTGGAGGAGGGCATGGCAACCCACTCCAGTATTCTTGCTTGCAGAGTCCCCATGCACAGAGGAGCCTGACGGAGTCGCAATGAGTCGGATACAACTGAGCACCCACACACACACACACAAAGGTTCACCTGCACCTTTCTGTTGACATAGGGTCTGCGTACTTATGTAGAGTGTGCAAAATCGTTTCACGTGGGGTATCTTGTTGTTGTTGTTCAGTAGCTAAGTTGTGTCTGACTCTTTGAGACTTCATGAACTGCTGCACACCAGGTTTCCCTGTCCTTCACTATCTCCCGGAGTTGGGTTATCTTACTTGTCCAGATAACCACACCTGCCTCTTGACAGGTGAGAACATCTTAGAGAGGTTAAGTGGTCCGCCCACAATACATATAGGTGAGTGAATGAGCTTTTATGAAAAATGACTGTTTGAAGGTCTAGGATTAAGACGCTTACTTCATTACAGACTATCCCGCAGAGCTGCCTTTCATAATCGGTTAAATCTGGAGGAGAAGATTTTAGCTGATGAAAGTCCGTCAACTGAGAGGTTGGCAAAGGGCCACTTATAGCTCCCAAAGCTGATGGGGGATGGATTCTGAATGTGCCTGGAGGAAGGCAAGAGGGGACAGCCAAATGTTTGCCTTGGGGGAAAGGACCAGGGTTTCCCCTAGATCGATGATCAAAATAACTTTCCAGACTTTTATGGAAGGGAAGCTGTTTATGTAGAGATGGGGTGCAGAAGTCAAAAGCCCTGGGTTTGATGCTGTATCGTCAGTTAAATTTGCTGCATGACCGCACTCATCTTAAATCTCCCAGGGCAAATATGGCAGAGCATGGGCTCTGGAGGCAGACAGGCTAGGCCTGCGTCCCGAGCCACCGTCTAATAACTGTTTAACTTTGGGAGGTTGCTGAACCTCTCTGTGCTTCCGTGTCCTTTGCTATAAAATAGTATCCCACTGATTATGGGAAATATAAAGAGTTGAGAAAAGCAGATAGCAAGCACTCAATAAATGTTTCTCTTTATATGGTCATCCCAATTTTACTTGTTCTATATTATTGCTGGAGAGCTTTGTGACTAGGAGGGGGGGGCTTTTATGGTCCTGCTGGGAGTTTTGCTAGTTCACCCCCTTCAGGCAACTGTGTTCAATAAACAGGTTGGGAGGGCTGTTCTGGGAGGGTGGGCCAAGGTCTCAGTCCCACAGGGAGAAGGAGAGCCCTGTGGACCTAGGAGGTCTCCCTCTCAGTCCTTGGTAGCAACTGAATTCTCATTTTCTTTCTCTAGGAAACTTCTTCAGAGCAGGTACGTCCCCGCGGGTGTGAACATCAGGGGGTCATGATATTAAATTGTCAGAGGCTGAAACCAGACCCTCCTGACGGCTTTTCAAAGCAGCCCCCTGGGAACGCAGTAAACTCAGCTGGGACTTAAAGAAGAGACCGGCCGATCACTATCCTAACAATGGCTGCTGTTTATATAGACCTTACTGGATCCACTGCTTTCAGTGGCTTATCTCAGTAATCCTCTCAAAAAGCAAGTAAGGTAGGTACTATCATCAGAGGAGAGAACAAGGTTAACGGAATTACTCAGGCTCAGAAAGCTCTCCAGGGTCAGGACCAGGGATTTGAACTCAGGTTGTCTGAAGCCACACCCAAGCTCTAAATAATTATGCTCTGGCTTCTCCCAGGGCCTGATGATTGAAAAACAAACAAACAACTTTTTGTTGGCTGGAAGCTGTGTAATTGAAAAAAAAAATTTGATTTGGGGAAGAAATAAGGGAGCATCTGGTAAAACTGAAAACCACACTCTTACTACTTAGCAAAACTGTTTCTCGGTGGATGTCCTAGAAAAATGATTGCAAGGGGGCAATAGAAGGAGTCTTGCACACAAATGTTCATGACATTGTTGTTCCTAGTGGCCGGTGACAAGAAACAACCTTGGTATCCATCAATAAGGAATAGGTAAATGAAATACGGTGTATTCATTACAGTGGTTTAGGGAAATGAATTTTTTATTTGTATATGTAACCTGTTAATGGGCTTCCCTAGTGTCTCAGACAGTAAAGCGTCTGCCTGCAATGCGGGACACCCGGGTTTGTTCCCTGGGTCAGGAAGCTCCCCTGGAGAAGGAAATGGCACCCCACTCTAGTATTCTTGCCTGGAAAATTCCATGAATGGAGGAGCCTGGTGGGCTACAGTCCATGGGGTCGCAAAGAGTCGGATCGACTGAGCGACTTCACTAACAGTTCAGAAACATACTGGGTGAAAATACGATTTGCAAGAAAAAACAAAACACAGTAATTTAGTCTATGGAAATCAAACACATAAAATGATTATTTATTGCTTATAAATATATGTATATAAAAGCATGAAATGCAAGAAGACTACAAATTCACAAAATCTTTAATAGTGATGTTCTCAGGGAGAGGGGATGTATGCTTAGGGTACTGGGAGTAGTAGAGTCAAAGGGGTTTTAGTTTTTTCTTCCCCCTTTAGCTGTGCCTTGAAGCTTGTGGGATCTTAGTTCCCCAACCTGGGACTGAACGTGGGCCCTAGAAGTGAAATAGCCAGGGAATTCCTGGTTTTAGCTTTATTAACAAAGAAAAAAATTTTAAAGGTGGTATCTACACATTATTTGTGTAACTAAAATAAAATAGAGACAAAAATAAGAAAAATGTTGTTAAAAGTTATTTGGTGGGAATGTGTTATGTTACTCTTGTACTCTGTGCTTTTCCAAAATAAAAATATTGAGGGGGAAAAAAAAGAAATTACGGATATTTTAATCAGATTAAAAAAAGTAAACAGAATAATGTCCTCCCAAGTACCCATTACTTAGCTTCAAGAATAATCGAGCATTTTGCCTTTATCGTCTTCCCTATACCTCTAGTCACTCCCCACAACCCCACAAATGTTTCTGAGGTGAAACTTACATAGGTTGAAATGGCATCATACTATTTTGATCACAGAATCTGACAAACTTTGATAAAGCTCTGTAACCTACCCATACCAAGACAAACTGTGTTCTCTTCTGGAAGTTTTATGTGTAGGTTTATTAACCATGTCAAATTTACTGTTGTGTATGGTGAGAGATGGGGGCTAAAATCCATTTTTCTGCTCCAGTTGTTTCAGCACCATTTGTTGAGACTTTCCTCTCCCCACTGGTACCGTCACAGAAAATCATTTGACTACATTTATGTGTCTTTTCCCAGACTCTATTCATTGATTGTTGTTCTACTGTAACTTTATTAAGTTTTATTATTGGACTACTGGGGCTTCCCAGTGACACCAGGGGTGAAAAATCTCCGTGCCAATGCAGGAGACACAAGAAATGTGGGTTCAGTCCATGGGTTGTGAGGATCCCCTGGAGGAGGAAATGGCAACCCACTTGAGTCTTACCTGGAAAATGCTGTGGACAGAGGAGCCTGGCAGGCTCCAGTCCATAGAGTTGCAAAGAGTTTGGACACAACTGACCATACATGTATTGAAGTATAATTGCTTTACAATGTTGTGTTAGTTTCTGTTATACAACTAAGCCCTACTGTAACTTTACAGTAATCTTGAAATCAGGTATTTTAAGGCCTCCAGCTTGTACCAATGTTTTGTTTCAGAATCAGCTTGTCAGTTTGTACATTTTTAAAAATCATTAATTTA